GCTCAAAAATACTCTAGTCTACCAAAAGGTCACACCTTTAGGGTTTTACAAATACCGGATTTTAAAGGGATAGTGCAAACAAATCTGGGTTATGGAAATACACTGACAACGTTCATTAAAACTTAATTTGCAAGTGCCTACCACTTATCCCAGATTCCTGGCCCCAGACAGCTGGAGAGTAATGCATTGGTAAGAGTCACAAGGAAACTGCGAGCACCTTTGGGAATACAGTAGTGGTACAGGATAACAAGGAGGCTTCTCACTGTCTACCTCGCCCTTTCCCCCAGTATGCCCTAGGCATATCCAGCTTGAGATCGCTGGGAACACTGGGTCGGGGGTCTGGCACAGTACTGCTGTTATGATGCTCTATTAAACAGGAGAGCTGGGGCAAACATGGCATGCCCCCAGCCAAGGCTGAAACAAGTGAGGAGACATCCCAGTTCGTTGCTACATCTACGACTTCATCTTCCACCTCCACACCACAGACAAGGAAGCAAAACTGGCAAATGCTGCATCAGTCAAGCAGGGTCTGCAACGCTGGCCACAGTGGTGCACTGGCTGCAGCACCAAGAGCATGGGTATTCCAAGGGAGAGCCTGTGCACGTGGAGCAATCTTTAAAAAATCCAACTGCAGCTTCTTCTGAAGCATCGGTGGACTCTGTCAGGCTAAATAGCCTATCTGTGTTTTGCAACTGAGTGCAAGGGGTTATTTAGTCCTCCTCCCTGCACAGCAACAGAAATAATTCTTCCCAAACCCCTTTTTTAATAGATATCCATTTTTTCCAACTATTTTTCCAGAGCTGTTAATCCTACAGCCTTTAACTTGCATTGCCTAACTGGTAATGGTTGCTAAATAATGGCCGTGAAGGGAGGGGGAGGACAGGAAATGGAGAGAGGAAACTGTAGCCAAGTTTCCCCATCGTAGATTCAAGCAGACACTTTTGCTTCATTCTCACCCAAAATGGATGCAGTTTATCCTAAATGAGAACATGCCACCTCCAAGCACACGCTGATATGGAGCACAGCAATGTGAAGTGCAGCCAACTCTGCAGTCCTTGGGATTTGCCTTGACTTAATTTTCCTTGACGTGGCATTCCTACTGCTGTCCTCCATACGTTCAGGGAAATAATGATCTGGATCTCGTTAGCCAAGGGAGTGACACCAGGTGGCTTCTGCCTGGACACATGCTGTGTGCTTCACTTTGCTTTTCTGCAAAATTGGGTATCACTTATCTAAAAACTGAGGGGATAGTGCTCAGTGAGCTCGCCAAGGACATGAGACCTGCTGCTTCATCAGTGATGAACTAAAACTGTCGGTGACGTGAGCTACCGGCAGGTTTTGCTGCCTTCCTCTAGACCAGATAGATGTCAAAGTACACGTTCTTAGTCATATCAGGACAGCCTGAAATAAAATGACAGGTTAAAAAAAAAAACAAAAAAAAACCCAAACCAAACCCCACAAGAACTAGCCCAAAATGAAGAGCTCACACATCACGCAAGCAACAGAGAACAGCAGCAGGTTTCCTGCACTGAAGGGAGTAAAACCAGCACAGCAATGTGCTCAACCTTCAGCAGATACAACACCACATCCTCCTTACCCTGAGGGTTTTTTTCAAGAGAAAAGCAACCCTCCCTCCAAAAAACAACTCGTGATCAAGTTGTTACACTGTCTTCTATCATCTTGTGGATAAGATCTTTCTCCTGAAGCTTTTGTAGTATTTTTTTAAGAGGGATATGTTGCCTTCCCTTGCTTTCACAATGGATTAGCTGCCTTCTGTTACGTGATCAAGAACAGAAATGGCAAGCCACACCAGAAGTAACCACTAGTCTGTATCAGCGTTCCAGCTTAATAGAAGCATCTGCCGATTTATTAAAAAATTTGAGAAGCCTAACGCACTGTTCTGTTATTTCTATAGGGCATCCACCATATCTGTATATATTGCTTGCTTTTATTATGAAGATATTTAACTTGAGGTAATCATCCTGTAATATCTAATTATGCTGTAAGTGAAAAAAGGCACTTTTAAAGCACTTACAATTTTTTAAGCACTTACAGTCCTTTCCTACAATCACATCTTACATGAACAGGACCGTCTATTAACAGCAGCGTGGAATATTTTCTGGTTTTGTATTTCTCATATCACTACATGCATGTGGCAATCCGTTTGCATGTTGTGATACCAACCACCACTGACGTACACCTTTCGGGTTGGTTTATGTGAGCAAGGGGAAGAATAGCAGTGAATCAACATCCCCAGACCCCAGCACCTTATGTAAGCCCTGTCAAGACCAAGATCAAGTTGAGATGCAGACTTTCTTCTCAGTTCAGCTGTGCAGAAAATTGCCTTCTGCGTTATTCCTGCGCAGGAATCAAGAACATAAACTGCCTCCTCTGCACTGAATGAAGCAAAGGTGTCACGGAGAAACATCTAATCTGCATTAGATGGGAACCTAATGCAGATTCAATGGATCAAATAACCAGGTAACCCTTTTCTAGGTTTGACTTCTTAACCTTCAAATATTTCACATTTGTAATTCTTCCGATTTAACCTTATCCCCTTCACAAGAACTCTTTTTGCAAGATGCAGGTAGGTTTTGGGCAGTGCTTTGCCAAGTTCCTTATTGTGCTTGATATGGTACAAATGTGACTTGGAAGTGTATCTGAAAGAGGAAGCTTACGATCAAGCTTGCAATTTTAAGCATAAGGAAGACAAGACAATATCACTCGGGCTTATGCAGGACAGTTAAACTTACCTGTTCGGCAAAGATCATCAACAGACTGACAATTAGTTAAGATTCAGCGTGAGCTACATTTAGAAACTCTGTACATTCACTGACTATTAGCAGCCTGATACAGTTTGTTACCAAAATACCATGACATCAAAGAGGGGAAGGAAACCATGTATCATAATTAGCAATCATCTATCTCTCACAGACATGCATGCACTTGCACACACAATATGGATCGCTTTATACCATACACAGCTAAGAAACCAGAAGATAACAACCATATTTTATTTTGGTGCAGTATTTATCAGATAACGCATGCTTTAAAAATATACCGATATAGTGTATCATTCAGACTAGAATCTCTCAGCTTGGAGATATGACTACGACTTAAAAATTCCTTCAAAGAAAAAAAAAAATCTAAAAACTTAATTGGAAGTGGTGCAAACAATCAATGAGTTATACTTCAGCATAGTTGCATGAAGATATTAATGAAGACATATTTTCTTTGAAATTCTTCAACAAAACCCATGTGCTATAAAGGTCTTTAAGTCACATAAGAACAGCAACTCCTTTTAATATTCTTTTTCATCTTAATTTGGAAATTTTTCACTGTTCGCAGGAAACGTGATCTAAGTTACACAGAATGAGAGAATAATTAAGGTCTTTGCTGACCTTCCACCTCCTTTATTGTATGAACACTTATACAACTCGTTCTTTAAACAAGCGTAGCTCTACTCCATTGCTCATATGAATGGCCACAGTTAAATTTTGGACTCTTTAAGGTTGAGGAAATGTTTCAATTTTACTTGGCAAAAAATTCTATTTCCAGTGATCTTCTGCACAGCATTACAAACAGTTCTTACCATTACTTTAACAATGCCCATTTATTACATGGAATATTAAATTACAGGGAACACACCTTATTGATATTTCTAAGGATTAATTTAAAGTTAAAACATGAGTGGTTCTTCTGTGCTTATAACTAAAGACAGGCAAAATATAGCTGATTATAGGTCTCCCTCTCATACTTTCAAATCCTAGGGGCTTCATATGAGCATTTACCACCAGCAGGACAATGACCAGCTGTTGTCCAGCTCCCACAGCACTTACATAGATGGTTTCACTGCTGGAATAAACAACACACACATTTTAGCATCATAACTGGAAACTTCTCAGGACTTAAAGGCGTTGAAACCTGTTTCACCCATCAGCTCCTACAGCTGAATCACTGTCAGCATTGGTTCAAGAGGGATACATCTTATTAATGCCAATTACTTCGTGCACACAGACCTTACAGTGCAGGACCTACTGCTGTACCTGGAGTCACTGTACTGTCAGCGACACACATTGTTACATTATAAAGACTTTATATTCTGAGCTAAGCATGTGTAGATGGAGATACTGCCTTAGTCGTTTCCCACCTCTTCAGCAGTCTTCAATAAACATACTTGCGCAGCATATTATTGCAGCCCCCTTTCTATTTACAGACTGTCCCATCTCTGTGCAGTTCGACAACACGTCCAGAAGTTCCATGCTGAAAGTATGACACCAAGGAAAATGAGTTACATAGCACCTAATTTCAGGTTTTATTGGTAATCACAAATGATTTACTATTTCACAGAAAAATCTTCAACTAACAAACACCAGAAAAGTCTTCTAAGAATGTGCAGAATCATAGCTGTTCTATGCCAGCAAGTAATTTAATTTACACTACTATGACTATTCACTTAAGTGACTAAGCAAAAAAAGCCTATTTTCGAAACTAGTCTGTAAGAGAACACCATTAGATATTAAAAATTTCCTCACATTATGTATTTTGAGATTTGTTTAAATATACTTCCCCCTCCCGCCAAGGAAGCACAGCTTATGGACACCACATCATAGTACAAGCACACAAATCCTACCGTTGGCAACTGGCTACACCTTTCTTTCCAGAGGCTGAGCAGATGCTTTTGAACAACAAGAAGCAGTTTTGGTCATACCGACTTCACATTGTGTTCACCTTCAATACACACCCACTATGTCTTCAAATATAATTCAACCAATAAAAATATGACTTCAAATACTATTTCCTTAATGGAACAATATTTTATAATCTGGAGAGTTTTGTATTGGCTTAATTAGATCCATTAGACATGTGCCTTGGTACACAGAGCAGGAAAACAAACTTGAATTCATTACCTCTTCTGAGAAATAAAGCCTGACAAGCATGCACTACTAGTGAGAAACAACAATTGGTAA